TTTTAAGGCTACATTTAAAAAAATATAAAAGAGAATGCATCTTAAATATGTGTTTATCTCTGGTCTAGTTAATTGCCACAGACATTTTTTTTTTCCTGAGACACACTGCCTATCATCTCTTAATCTGAAATTCAGTATTAGTGATTAATAGAGTCCGACCTGTTTGGTCAAAATAACATTTAATCCCTTATTAGACAGATACAATACTGAAAGCAAAGAGCTTATGAGGATTTATATTAATTACTAACTGATAAAATACTATTTTCCCTGACCACAGTTGTGATTATTCAAGTCTGTTTTACACCAGGGCAGATGAGATATTGTTCTTTTGCTCTCACCTCTAACAGTGCAACCCCTATTTAAATAAGCACAGTTTCCAACCCTGCACACACAGCTACATTTCTCATTCACTATCTTTAATATTCTTACCTGTTAAAACATTGATCCAAGTGGTCATTAGGGAATGCAAAAAGGTTGAGTGCTTTAGCAGAGCAGCCAACATCAAAACAAAAGTCTTTTTAATTTTTTTTTTAATCACAACATTCACAGACCCAATGCTGCCCCCAGTAGTAGCAAAGCTGCTCAGTGTTCATGAAAAGGAAATCTACCCTTTCTCCAGAGTCTTCAGAAGGGAGCAGTTTTCTGCCTTTTCTCCTCACCATCTCCACTTCCATTTGATTGACCTAGTTTCCTGTAACTCTGCCAATCAAACTAAATAAGCTTCTCAAGTGGATCATTCCCATGCTAGTGGTGTCTCTTTGCCATATTCTGTACAGTGATGGTGTGGGGTCTTCACAGGCACTCTGCAATAGGTCATTCATCCAGACACTTAACAAGGAATAGAATTTACCTTTAAATCTCCCATTTTTTTCAGAAACAGCAGACCTAAAATTAGTCATACAACTTTAACTTAGCTTTCTAGTTAAACAGTACCTGAAAGTACTGCCATATGACCAAAATATTAGACTGTCTCCATGACCTAAAAAGTATACACACAACAAAAAGCCACTCATCATTGACATTGAAGAACAAGAACATTAGATCCTTATTCACCTAACTGGGGGGGGTGGAAGAGACCTGCCATGCAAAAAGAGAATTCATTTCAATGCATTGTTGGACTTGACATTTTGACTGGACACTGAATTTAACACATTCTTTCACTCCAAATCAGGTTCACTCATCTGAATGGTACCAATATGCTTATATTTTTTCCAACACGAACAATCTATTCCACACTATTTATCTTTATTCTAGTATCTTGATACATACTGCAAATTACTAGAACACATAATCTGTGTTCTTCTAGATTTTGCTTAGAATCATAGAATGCATCAGATTGTAAGGGACCTCATCTAGTTCATCCCCCCTGCAGTGAGCAGGTACATCTTTAACTAGATCAGGTTGCTCAGAGCCTCATCAAGCCCGATCTTGAATGTCTCCAGGGATGGGGCCTCCACCACCTCTCTGGGCAACATATTCCCGTGTTTCACCACCCTCATAATAAAGACTTTCTTCCTAATGTCTAATCTAAATCTACCCTGCTCTAGTTCATTCCTCCTACGTCCTATCACTACATGCCCTTGTAAACAGTCCCTTCCCAGCTTTCTTGTAAGCCTCTTTCAGGCACTGGAAAGCTGCTATAAGGTCACCCCAGAGCCTTCTCTTCTCCAGGCTGAACAATTCCAACTCTCCCAGCCTGTCTTCATAGGAGAGATGCTCCAGCCCTTGGATCATTTTTGTGGTCCTCCGCTGGACCAGCTCCAAATCCTTCTTGTGTTGAGAGCTCCAGAGCTTGACACAGTACTTCAGGTGGGTCTCACCAGAGCAGAGAATCAACTCTTAATCTGCTGATCATGCTGCTTCTGACACAGCCCAGGACGGGATTGCTTAGTAGGATTATTACAAGGTAACAGACACCTCACAAGAAAAACAAGAAAAAAAAGCAACTTAGTATCTAGATACCTCCTAGTATGTCACTTGTGCAAAGTTACAATACTGTTTGACAAAAGGTAAAATATTTTCCTTTTACTACTTTCTTTAAAAAAAATATCAGTTGTAGCAAAATGCGTAAGTCTTAGCTATTTATTGGGGAAGTAAAATCCTACTGATTCACTGTATTAAAGAAGATACCTCAATCCTTACCAATCTTCTGAAATAGAAATATAACAGTTTCTTCAGTCATAATTTTAATACAGAAAATAGCAGAATCTGTTTCTCTTTATTAGTAAAAAGAGGAAGAAGGTAGTGGGAGAAACTGTAGACTGTCATATTTAATATATTACTCCCCATGACAGTTGAGATTGTTTAGGTCAAGAGTTTGCAAATTTAGGCTGTAAACCTCAGCACAGAAGCACAAGCTGCAAATATTGTACACAGAGGGAGGAGGTTACAGACATCATACTTTTTCCTTTCCTGTTTACACTTATCAAAAACGGAGCTCAAAAAAAATCTTAATTGTTATTTGCATAACTGGCAAACTTGACAAGCATGCTGAAATAACAGGGGACGTGGACTGATGCATTTATTTCAATAAATGCCATATGGATTTTGGAATTTGGTAATCATGGATCTGGCACCTCTTTATAATGTATTTGGGACAGACTGGAACATTTCTGCAAAATTGCTATAACCAGGTGCTTCTGCCCTACTGAGGCTAAACTACTTTTTACTATCCAGGTTTCCTATAAGGAGGACAGAACTGGAAATCAAGTATATATGGTCTACACTGGCCCATCTCTTGCTTCGTCCTCCCCAATTATTTCTTTACTTTCTTAATGTCACACTGAAGAGCCTATTACTTCCTAGCTACTGCAGTAGATTATTCTGTAGCTGCACTTAGCTATTAAAAAGATGTAACATTAAATTATTTGGAAAGAAGACATCTGTCTTCTGAACTGACTTTTATAAGTGAGAGCTTAAGTTTATCCAAAAGTAAGATTTCAAATAGTGCAAGTATGGATTTCCTGCAGGCATCAGATTTATCCTAGAAATAGTTAAAAGCTTCTAAAAATCTTAACTCACGGTCAACACGCTGAGTACGTTAGGAAACATATCTACCCTGACATGACGTAACTGTCATCAAAATTTGTCACAGAGACTCAGGTACCTGGGAACAGTACATTTTTAAATAGTTGAGAACAATGATCCCTCACTAAGAGAGGGAATGCCAGCAGCTTCTACTCAACTTTTCCCATTAGATCTCCACGCAGAAGGAGGAGCACTGATATTTGTTACTGTAACATTTGTAACATTACTGCAACATTTGCTATTCACCCTCAACATACAGTCGGGAAGAAAGGATCGACTTTGACTAGTATCTTTGGGTATATCATTCATCAGGAACCTCTGATAGCAAAAAGTAATTTAACAAAAAAACCCCAACAACTCTTATGCCTGTTAAAAGCGTTAAGAGCAAGCTCAAGTGCAGAGTTTCCACACCAAATGCCAAAACTACATAACACAGGGAGCTGTGGCTAGACAACGTAAGTTCAAACTTCATGCTTTATACTTCTAAGCAGTTTTAAAAACTTACAGTGTTCATATTCTTTTTGATACTACAGAAATACTGACTCAGTCCTGAGATCCACTGACATGGTGCTCTCTGACCATCACCACAAGTTTCAGAAGTTGGGGCAACCCCATTTAAGAAAGAGTAAGAAGACTGCCAGAGCTGTAGCTTTTAGCATATGTTAATCTGCAGATCTCCATAACTTTACTGCCTTACTGACAAGGTGTAGCAAGGAATCCAAAGAAAACAGTCATATTTTTTATATAAGATTAGCAGCATGTCCTTCTAACTATTTAAAGTGTGCTACCCTTGAGTATCTCTTTTGATTTAGAAGTGATGAAAGACCAAGAACTTATGGATGTCTTTATTTATTTCCATACAAGTTAGAATAGGCATTATTTCCTTTCCCTGGATAAGCAATATTCATCCCCTTATACTAATTGCTTACATTTCAAAATCATGAGATCCCTCCCACTCTAGTTTTGTGGAACAGAAACATCTGCCATAGTAGTATACACTATTTTATGTTGTAATACAGGCTATTACTCTAATTGGCTTCAGTTCAGTTTATACCTTTTAATGTCTTTGCATACATTTCACCCATCTTCCTCAGCTATCTTCTCTCTCTACCACACTACATGTTTTGGTAATACCAACTTACAGAGCTAAACAGACACATGTTACCTCATTTCAAATGAGTGATAAGGCAATACAGAAACTACCCTGATCAAGTTTTGTTCACAGAAACTGATTAAACATAAAAGAATGAAGAAAAAACAAGTCATGTAATAAAAAGAAGTCTGTTGCTCATTCCTTTTCTGTTCCACAAAACAAAAATAAAAATAATGTAACTGATTACAGGGAAGGAAGGGAAGAAAGCCACACAGAACACCCTACATTTTACTGCCATTTTCTTAGGAAATACTTGTGTACTGTTATATAATATAGCAACTAATAAAGACTTTCAAGTATAGAACTTTTCAATAAGCTTTCTAGTTGGCTTTCTATCACCTCCACTTCAACTTGGGGGCTACATCATGTGCAAGAGCTACAGTAGCATGAATGTGGCCACAGAGCAGCCAGCCACTACTAAATTAACCCCAAATATGGGGTTTTCATGTTTGAAGCACCTTTGAGATTTTGGTCAGCCCCCAATAGCTAGAGATAGGACAATCATTACCATAACTGAACTGCAATTTTTCCTAAAGGAAAAATTATTTATTCTGCATTTGAAACAGAAAGCATTTTATTAGGTGAGCAGCAAGTAATGAAGAGATATTTCCTGCAGTGACCAAAATTAACAGTGCAATTACAAAAAAGCACCAGGCCTCCCTGAATGACTTCACATGCAGTCAGAAACGGTGTGATCAGCAGTCACATCAACACTTGCTTTTCAACCAGAAGTGAGGTACATTTTCTCGCCTTTCATATCAAATAGTTAAGTAGATTCGCTGGATTTCAGAAGTTTTCATACTGCTTCTGCGTTCATGCATTAGTGCTCTGCTTCTTTCCTCAGATACTTCTCTATCTCCATCAGTAAGTCAGTCCATACACTTAGGCCATGAACCTTGAAGTCTCCATCCTGCGCCTTCAGGAGTTTCAGAGCAGCTTGGGTCTGTCCTCTGAGCAGTACAGATCCCTGACAGAGGCAGCAGAAGCGCTCCCTCAGCTCCTCCCAAGCCAACTCAGCTTTGTCAAGACTACTTTTAACCCACCGGCCCTGCAAGGGGTCATAGAGCAAGTGGCTCCCCCAGCTGGTTAAAAGGTCCAAGTAAGGTTTGCTTAACCGGGAATAGTGACCAGCAAGGGAGCCAAGAAGCGAGCCTGGGAGGAAGAGACAGAAGGCAGAAAATCGCTCCAGGTTCCCCAGCAGCCAGGAAAGTAGGAGTTCAGCAACACATTCAGCTCCTGTTCCACTCGCCTGGTTTCCATCTAGGCTGTTCTCCTCCCGACTTCTGCCTCCGGCCTTCTCAGCATCACTCCCCTGCCCCAGCAGCAGCAGCGCCGCTGCCACCACCTCGAAGGCCCGAGACTGAGGGAGCTGCTCCAGGACACCGGCCAGCCACTGTAGCCGCGCCGCGGCCTCCCCAGCCGCCTCGGCCTCCCGCCCCTCCTC